AGCCAGACAAAACTGGGGGGGTTGGGGGGTGGAGGAGGAGGAGGAAAGGAGAGAGAGAAAGGCTGAGACAGAGAGAAAGCGAGATAAAGTGAAACAGAGAGAACGGGGAATAGAGGCACTGTGTTGGAGGTCAGGGCACAGACAGAAATCGGAGCCCCAGTGCTGCTCCTGTACCCCGAGGATTGTGGACTTTGTAAAGCCCCAGCTATCAGACGTTGATATACCTGCCTTTTTGTACCCTGTACATTCTTATGGAGGGCAGTATCTCCATATCACTATTGAGAACCTTCCAGTGAGAAGCAAAGTTCCAGCTGTTCCAGATTGTTTCCCACTTACAGACCATAAAGAAATTACAACAATCACATCTCATGCATAGAACAAAAAAAGTCTGACCTGTGATCTTCCCATCACATTCCCCAGCAAAAAAATCAACGTACAATGCCCTCAACATTTAAAAAACAACTTCCCTGGGCACAATAAAGGAGAGAGAGAGAGAGAGAGATAGTGACGTGGAATGATTCAGGGAGCAAATGTAGAGCTTAGGGTACAGCCACCAATTTAGCAGTGGGATAACAAGAGGTCAGATTGGTCAAGTACTTTAGATTAAAAAATACTCTCATTCCTTCTTCTTTTCAGCCATAGTCCAGCCACTGTGAAAGCTACTAAGGATATAACTTTAGGCAACTCCATCAAAACTGCACTCGCTTCCTTTGACATGTGAATTGCAGAATTCAATCTTTCTTGGGATTAGCTGACAGAGCACTGACCTGAGGTCTTGCTAAGCCTGGTGTGCTTTGGCTGGAATGGGACATCTGAGGCAGACTTTCTCTTCCCGGTTCCTGAGCCCCCTTGGTGTGACGGAAGTGGTTTGCGATCCTTCTGACATGCAGCCCCCTTAGAATGGCTGCCTGGGGAAGTATGTGAAGGAAACGTCAATTGCGAATGCAAAATCGACCAGAAATTAAAGCTAACTTTCATCACAAAGCAATAAAAAGAGAGCAATGTTCATCTACGATCTTTTGCAACCACAGGATGCCCCAAAAGCTCTTTAAAGCCAATCAAATATCTTTCTGAAGGTTGTGAAGTAGGAAATGAGGCCAGTTAAACAATGCACAGCAAGCTTCCAAAAAACAGCAAGTGTGTTAAAGACCAGATTATCTGTTGATTGAGAGGTGAATTATTAGGCTGGAGAACTCCATCACACTTTGTGCTGTCAGCTCTTTAATATTCACCTTACGATAGACTGCATCTCGGTTTAACAGACACAGAAACTGTTCGCACAAACAGGATGGTCAGTAGCTAGAGGGCACTGATTAAAATGGCAAAGAATGCAGGGGAAAATTACTTTCTTTTAAATTACTATTTGGAGTCAGCCTGCTTGCTTCAATCTCTCTATTCTCAGCTGTCTTTAGACTCCACAATCTGCAACTCCCTTCCTAAACTCTGCTCCTCCAACCATCAAAACTCTCCTCAAATTATCATTACATTTTTGACCAAGACCTCCTGATATTTTCTTTGTCTTCGCATCGTTTCTCCCTTCCACCTCAAAGTACCACTTCGGAGGGAGTTTTTCACATTAAAGCAACTTACCAAGAATTCTCTGACAGCAACATCCAAACCCATGACCACTACCATTTAGAATGATGAAGGGCAGCAGGTAAATGGGAGCATTAGCACCTGCAAGTTCCCCTCCGAGCCACTCACCATCCTAATTTGGAAACATACTAACTGTGTCTTCAGTGTCGCTGGGTCAAAATCCTGGAACTTCCTGCCAACCAACGCTGTGGGTGTCCCTATACCACATGGACTGCAATGGCTCAATATAGCACCTTCTTGATAGCAATTAGGGATGAGCAATAACTGCTAGCCCAGTCAGTAAAGCCCACATCCCAAAGACACAAAAAAATCATGGCAATTTGTCCAGCAACTTCTGGTTTGATACAGTTGGAGAAACTCAGCAGGTCTTTCGGCATCAGCGGGGAGAAAGCAGAGTTAACTTTTTGGGTTCGGTGACCCTTCTTCGGGCATTCAGTTCTGAAGAAAGGTCATTAGACCTGAAATACTGACTCTCGTTTCTCTCCACAGATGCTGCCAGACTTGCTGAGTTCCTCCAGCAATTTCTGTTTTTCTGTTTCAGATTTCCAGCATCGGCAGTTTTATTGCACTGTCGATCTGCACCGCTGTTTTGTCTGCATTCCCTCACTTGCTGAAACCCACTTTGTTACTCCTGTATGGACCCACCATGCCGCATCTATTCCCAGGTCAGGAGGGATACGTTTTTATTATGGCTAGTAATCGAGAGGCTTAGAACAATAATCACAGCTTCAAAGGAATTTAAAACTGAGTTAATTAAATTAACAGAGTGCAAAAAGTTTACGTCAGTCACGGTGACCATGAAAGCCCCGATCACCAGCTCACAGTCTTCAGGAAATTTGGTGTCACACCCACACCCACAGCAATGCTGCTGATTCAAAAGCTCTCAAAAATGGTTTAGTGTGTCCCTCGTTTGTATTGAAGTCCCTAAGATGGGCTGGAACAGTTGAAGGAGGTGGCTCACCATGATCCTCTCTTGGGCAATTTGGGATGGTCAATAAACACTGGGCTGGCCAGCAGTAATGGAACAGGGAAGGCATCGAGATGTTGAGCTCAACATTCTTCTGCCATTGGTGGGGCACAGGAATGAGGGAAGTCTCACTCAAACAGCTTTCCTTGAAGATTCAGCCGCAAATTAAGGGAATTGTTTGTACATTCGCCGAGTCAGGAGGTTGTTGGCTCACGTCCCGTGAAAGAGACGAGCCCACAATTTAGGCTGGCACTCTCACAAAAGGAGGGCTGTGGGGCCTTTGGGATGAGACGTTAAACCAGGAGTTTGTCTGCTCCCCAGCTGGATTCAGAGAGCAGCTGCCTCAATCCAAACCACGTGGAACCGCTGTAGCTCACCTGTTAGTCCCACGGAGGGGGGCCTCCCACGTTTTCTCTTCTCCTCGGGTTTCCCCAGCTCACTGGAAGACGGAGAGCTCTTCTGCGACAGAGCCTCCGGTGAGCTCTTTAGGTGCTCGGCCTGCTCCGGGGAAGCTTCGTGCGAAGACTTTTGCTCCACTTCAGGCAGAGCTGGTTTGGCTTCTTCCTCTTTCTTCTCCATTGCCTTGATCTCCCTGACCCGCTCATCCCCAAGGGATGGGGGAGCCCTCTCCCGTAACCTCTCCCTTTGTCTTGCACTGCCGGAGCCATTTTCTTTATTCCTACCACTTGCAGAATTCTGTTAAGTTAAACAAAATTTGTTATTCGAGATCCCAGAGATATACTGACCTAGGCACTGGAACACCTTACCACTGGGTAACAAGATTCAGATCAGAGTCAATGATTTCAAAATGCTGACACTTTGAGACATCACTGAATAACAAACTCTTTTGGCGATTTTAAAATTTATTCCCCATTTTATTCACACTTGCCTACCTACACCCAGCTCCCAAAACGCTGCCCGACTGATCAACCAAGTGGATGACCTGCTTTATACCTGATCAGCTGTAATTAACAGAGGTGTTTATAATCATGAGGGATTAAGGTGGAGAAAATAAACTATATCAAGTGGCTGAAGTGATCAGTCACAGCAAGACAATAGTTTACAACGTACCACATTTCTCTTCCTAATTCTGGGAACAGCATTATAGAGTCATACAGTACGGAAACAGATCTAAACATAACCCCAAACTAAACTAGTCCCATCAACCTGCTCCTGGCCCATATCCCTCCAAATCTTTCCTATTCATGTACTTATCCAAATGTCTTTTAAATGTTGTAACTGTACCTACATCCCTCACTTCCTCAGGAAGTTCATTCCAACCCTGGCAACATCCTTGTAAATCTTTTCTGCACCCCCTCAAATTTAACAACATCCTTCCTATAGAAGGGTGACCAGAATTGTACGCAGTATGCTAAAGGTGGCCAATACTTGAATATTTCGAGAAATAGTTTGCAGGGATTTGCAAGAAGAGTGAGACTAATTAGCGCTTTGGTTTGTTGCTCTGAAGAGCCAGAACTGACCCAGTAGGTTGAAGTGCTTCTCTCTGCTTCTACTCTATGAAGTCAGCTCTTCCTCAAAGGAAAGGCCTCTTGTCCACTTACAATCCCTCCCTGTTGATACTGGCACAGCATTGACACTGGCCGCCAGACTACACTATCAAAATCATCCCCCAACACACCTGTACATAGCGTAATCCTTGAAATACAAACCTATTTTAGGAGCTTGTCATGCGGTGGTAGTGCTCCTACCTGTCAACCAGGAGACCCAGGTTGAGTCCCACCTGCTCCAGGGTGTTATAACATATCTGAACAGGTCAATTAGAAATATCTACAAACACATTTCCCCATAACATTGTTAAAGGGTTCATTGCCGCACACTTGATTTCTTTGTGTCTAAATTACCGCAAACATTTGTAGCGCTCCAAGATAATTAATTGTTGCCCTGTCACTGCTCTGGTGACAAAGTAGGTGTGAATCATTTTTTGATGGGAGTAGGACGTTAAGTGCGAAAGTTTGATGACCATGAATCCGTATGAATACAGGAACAACTATTCAGTCCGCAAAACTGAAGTGCCTTTCCATTAAATCATTGCTAGCCTGTTCCTCAACTCCCATTTATCATTTTTTTTTCCATATTCCTGGATCTGGTCCTAACTAATAAAAAGCAAACCCAGCCTATCCAGCCTCTCCTTGTAACTTAAACTGTCCAGTCCTGGTAACATCCTTGTATATCTTTTTTTTGCACCCTTTCTCGTTTAATAACTTCCTTCCTATAGCAGGGCAACCAGACTCTAAAGGACAGAAGAATCTTGAGCCATACACAGCACTACACCAGTTCATGTCTCTTTTTCAAATGGATATCTGGATAACTCGGGAATGTGCCTTTGATTTGGCCAAAAATCCAGGAACTTGATGATGCAGGTTCAAGGGGATGTAGGGTTTACTCCTGCTCATTATATTCCTCTGTCAACTCATGAACTAGTCTCAGGGGCCAGGGACAGCCTATGTAACTATGTAGACAGAGTTTGTGAGCCTTACCTTGTCCCTCGAGGTCTTGGGAAGAGATTTGACATGGATTTTCTTTACAGTTTGCACAACACCATCGTAAAATTCCACTGTATAAGAAGCTGAAATGCAGAAAACACACCAGCCAGTCTCAGTATCACAACATCACTCTGTTTCAACATGTGAAAGACAAGTCATATTTGGAAACAACCCGAGGACAGTTCTCCTCCTCTCCAGGCCAGTCTCCCGTAACAGCCAGCTAAATCCTGTTCCTCATTTGCATTGAATTAAAAATAAAACATTCTTGGGGTGTAGATGCCACTGTCAAATCCGACGTTTATCGCCCATTCCCATTTTCTCCAAACTTGACACACTCTTTTTAATTTGTCCTCGGGATGTAATTGGCTGGCCCACGCTTAGATATGAAATAGGAGAAGTAGGCCATTCGGCCCTTCAAACCTGCTTCACCAATCAATAAAATCACGGCTGATCTGTTTCTATTCAAATTCCACACTCCCACTTGATTCCTCTCTCTAACACGGACCTCTCAAGGCTTACGAAAGGATTGTTACCTTTGTCTTTTTAAACTTATTTATTTTTCTACTTCCGTAACTAAGAAATTTGTACCAAGGTACTTTGTACCTAAGAGGGCACCATGTGTGGCGATACTATACTCCTTTCACTGTACTCTCGTACCCCGTGTTTGAGAACACGTGACAATAAAAGATCTAAATCTAAATCTACTTTCACCTTTAATACATTCAATGGACACCCCCAGCTCCATCACCTACTGAGGTAGACAGTTCAAAAGTCTCACAACCTTCAGAGAAATTATTCCTCTCACCTAGAAGGGTGACTCCCAATTTTAAAAGTGACCCCCTAGTTCTGGGTTCATCCACAAGATGGAAATGCCCTTCCCACGTCCATGCTAGAAATCTTTTAAATGTCCTAAGTACCCTTGCTGAGTACTTGCTGGGCCATTTAACGGAGCAGAAAGAAGTCAATCTTATTATTGTCATTCTGGTGTCACATGTAGACCAGACCATGTTAAGAAACAGGGTTTGCTTCAATGAAAGACTTTAGTGAACCAGAGGGTTTTTAGGGAAATCTGGTAATTTCACCATCATTATTAATATTCCACATTTACTAATTAGCTGAACTTAAACTCCCCCCCGATCAGCTGAAGTGGGATTTTAACTGATGCCCGGGTTTGTAAATTAAAAATCCTTTGGTGGTGAACAGCCTTTGTCCTTTACCAACCTAAAAGAGGATTGAGAAACCCTCATCGTAGCAAAGAAAATAATTACAAATCCAAAATTACTGCAAAATATATCAAAAATAATTACAAAAGATATAAAAATGAAAAATCAAGGCACAGACCCAAGACTCAGCTAGGACCCAAGGTATTTCGGTTTAAACAATGGGGTGGTACTGTTGCTCAGTGGTTAGCACTGCTGCCTCACAGCACCAGGGGCCCAGGTTCGATTCCAGCCTTGGGCGACAGTCTGTGTGGAGTTTGCACATTCTCCCTGTGTCTGCGTGGGTTTCCTCCAACAGTCCAAAGATGTACAGGTTGGGTGGATTGGCCATGCTAAATTGCCCATAGTGTTCAGGGATGTGTAGGTTAGGTGCATCAACCATGGGAAATATAGAGTTACAGGATAGAGTCGAGGGATGGGTCTGTGTGGAATGGTTTTCAGAGGGTTGGTGTGGACACATTGGGCTGAATGGCCTGTTTCCACACTGTAGGGATTCTGTTCCTCTATTCAAACATTTTCACAGACAAGAAGCAGATTTCACACACAAAAAGTACTGATCATCAGAGGAACCAGTGAGCTTTGCAAAAGGAGATATCACAGCTCATACGTACTCTCAGGAGGATAAGCCCTTTCTTCTTCTCATTACTCAAGTGTACACTATGTCCTGAATGGCTTGATACATTCACCTCTGATAACAGGTCTTTCAGCCAATCTGATAATAATTAATTATCATGGTTACCCTTTCAACTGCACACCAGAGCTCAAACAACAGGAAGTATGTCAAGAACATGACGACCCTTCACCACAATGCCTTCCATCACCAGGCAGCTGACCATTGATGCTCCAACTGATGAAACACCAACTTGGACAAATGCAGAAGAGGTAGAATATTCTGTTTCTTGGCGCATCTCTGCCTTTGAATAAGCTCATCCCTGATCTGTTTGTGTTTCAAATACCACATTCCCATTTCCACCAGCCAAGAAGAATCTATCCACCTCCGTCTTACAAATATTCAGTGAGCCGCTACTATCACCATCAGAGGCAGAGAGTTTCAAGGTCACACCAGCGTCTGATGTAACAAAAATCCTCTTCATGGTGCTTAAAGGGTAACCCTTAATTTTTAAGCATCGCCAACAACAGGAACAGAAAGTGCCGGAAAAACTCAGGTCAAGCAGCAGCTGTGGACAGAAAGCAGAGTCAACGTTTCAGGTCCAGTGACCCTTCTTCAGAACCCTTCTGAAGCCCAATATCTCAGCTCTATAAGATGGCCACAACAACAGTCGAATGTTTTCCTTCTGGCCACACTGGATAAGCTCCTTCCATCCACCCACTGGGCGACTTTCCAATGGTTTACTTTGCTGCACTTTGCTGAATGGGAAGATCCCAACTCCAATTGTTGAGGAACCTGCGCCATAATTGGTATATGCTAAGTCTGTTTTGTTTTTGGAAAACAATGCTTTTGGGAGGCAGTACATGAGCAACTGGGAAACACATGCTGTGGTCAGTCAATTGTCCTGGCTGTGGACAGGCAGATTGTCTTAGGATTTTCCTCATCTCCTCTCCAAGCCTGTTGCAGACTGATTGCTGAGATACAGACTGCTAACATTAGGCAGCACTGTACAGCCAGCGTAACGATAGGTGAACCACAACGACCTTCGTCTTTTGTCGGGCAATTGCGTCGTTCCCAAGCTGCACCAACAGTCTGCAGGACAGTGAAATATCAACGTGTCAAAGAATCATAAGACACAAATGTGCGTCTCCGATGCAGAGCAGCATATCAAAATGCTGACACACTGAGCACTAGGCTCTCTGCATCTATTTGGATGTGATCAGATTCCACTTTTCTTCTCTGTAGCAGGACACCTTGCAGCATACTTTTGATATTTGCAGCAAGACTGCCCCCAAGTGCAGCAAAAAGTGTCAGGGGTCTCTGGAATAAAGTCAGAGAGCTGTACAGCATGGAAACAGACCCTTCGGTCCAACTTGTCCACGCAGACCAGATATCCTAATTTAATCTAATCCCATTTGCCAGCATTTAGCCCGTATCCCTTTAGATCCTTCCTATTCCTATACCCATCCAGATGCCTTTTAAATGTTATAATTGTACCAGCCTCCACCACGTCCTCTGGCAGCTCATTCCATATATGCTCCACCCAATGTGTGAAAAAGTTGCCCCATAGGTCCCTTTTAAATCTTTTCCCCTCTCACCTTAAATCTGTGCCATTAGTTTTGGACTCTCCCACCCTGGAAAAAAAATCTTGGTTATTCACCCTATCTATGCCCCTCATGATTTTATAAATGTCTATAAGGTCATCCCTCAGCCTCTGACACTCCAGGGAAAATAGCCCCAAGCCTACTCAGCCTCTCCCTATAGCTCAAACCCTCCAGTCCCAGCAATTTCCTTGTAAATCTTTTCTGCCTCCTCTCAAGTTTAACAACATCCTTCCTATAGCCACCTGGCAATACACAAAACATCTTTGCAGCCAACATTTTATTGCTTCAACTAAAAAGACCAAGTCTGCTTCAACAGGGGAGAATCGCCCAAAAACGAAAGACCCAGATTGATCCAATCTGGCTTCACTATAATCTCAGCAGGTCACCCGTACAGACAGCACACCTTGGAGCAACCGAAGCCGGTCTTAAAATGGTGGACCTCATCCACATGTGCATCTGTCTTCTCTATTACCCACACTCTCCCTTTTCTACTTCTCCCCTAGTACGCCGCACTTCTTGAACCTCAACTCAATTTGTAAAAGGAGGCAGCCCTGCCTTCTCAGAAACGCGGCCAACCCCTCCCTGAGCCCACCTGGTCTTTGCAGGCTGCAAAGTCACAAGCACCCTCACTCACCATCTTTGTTGACTGATATAACTTTAGCTGGGTAGAAGCGACAGTCAGACCAGCAGGCCAGCACTTGTTCGCTGGGGCGGAACTCCTAAACAAAAATCAAACACAGCCACACACAAGGTTATCTAAGGTTCCAACACTGTTGACTCAAATGCAAGAAAACGCATCTGCAACGCGTAGCTTGTGTACTCAATTCGATATTGAAGAAATGTAACTAACATTTGCGGCACACCTTTCAAGTAGCTTCCCCATGAAGGTGGCCTTATAATAATACATGCCTGGTCAGTTCAGTTTTGTTTTAGAACAAAAATTTTGCTAATACTCCTGGAACAAACTGGAACTCCCTCCCCCTACAAGTCTCAAGTCTGTACCTATCCACCATGGAGCTTCACAGCAGTTCTGGAGGGCAACTAGGAACGGGCAATAATTTTTTTTTAAAACAAAGTCATTCACAGGATGTGGGTAATAATGGCTGGACCAACCCTTATTGCCCAGAGGGCAGTTAAGAGACAGCCACATTGCTGTGTGTCTGGAGTCACGTGTAGGCCAGACCAGGTAAGGACGGCAGATTTCTCTCCCTAAAAGGACATTAGCGAGCCAGCTGGGCTTTTATTCTGCAACAAATGACAGTGGTTACACAACCACCATGAGGCAAGCTCTCTATGTCAGATTTTTTTGTTGAATTCAAATTTCACCATCTGCCACATTGCGATCTGAACCCATGTTCCAAGAACACTGGGGTTCTCCTAGTCCAATGGCATGATCACTACACCACCAGCTCCCCCTAAATGCCAGCAACATTCGCACCCAGTGAACGAATTTTAAAAACAGTGGCTCAGAATGGAGATAATCCTGTTTTATTCCCATGTCAATCACTGCTAGAGGCCAGGAACAAAAAGAGGTATTGCTGGGAAAATCCAGCAGGGCTGGCAACATCTTTAGAACTGTTCTGAAGAAGGGTCACTGGACCCGAAACTTCAATTCTGATTTCTTTCCACAGAAGCTGCCAGACACGCTGAGCTTTTCCAGCAACTTCTGTTTCTGTTTCTGATTTACAATATCCACTGTTCTTTGGAAATTTTTTTGTTTACTGTCGGAGGCCAGATAGCTGTAAAATGTCTAGGATTGCTTTTACACATACAATCATTTAAAACCGAATAAAGGGATTTCAACAAGCACTTAAGATTAAAAGAAAATGCAGTTATGGAGAAGCTGTTATGGATGTGGGATAGCTCTATCAAAGGGCTGGCACAGGCACAATGGACCAAGCGGCCTCAAGAATCTGTGTCATTGACCTCAAGTTGTTGCTCTGTGGCAGAAATGAACCTCAGCCAAAGGGAGGCTGAGACTTTCCTGCACATTTTGGCTGGATTTGACCTTAATAAAAACGGTTTTTAACAGTTGCGGCATGTCCAAGGTAATAATCCTCACCACGGTGGGCTCGTCCAGCTTCGCTCCCTCTTTCCGCAGCAGTGGCCTCTCTAAAGGCCGGAGGTACACACTGTCCCAGCTGAACCATTCATCATATCGATGATTCCAGCGCTTGAAGTGAATCAGCACCTTCCCCTCTTCGTAATCAATCTTTTCAATGTGGGCTGTGTACCTGGAGGAAAACAGAAACCAAAGAGCTGGATCAGGAACCACTCCCACTACACTGCCGTGGGCCAATGTTCAACAACGTCCTTTATTGAGTTAAAGTCGGAAACCAGGCAGCAAAGAAACATAAAACAAGGCTGGATTTGCACTGGCTGTTGGGGCAACCTACTCGGGCACAGGACAGGGGTGCCTTCCAGCAGGAGGTCAAGTCGCACGGCACTTTCGAAAAATTAATTTACTAGTTGCAACTATGACCAGCCTTCACTGCTCATTCCTACTGCCCCCAGGAAGCAGGCAGTGAGCCACCTTCTTGAACTGTTGTTGACCATGCAGTGTGGGGGGACCCACAGTGCTTTTAGGAACGGACTTCCCGTATTTGGACCGGGGAAAGGGCGATGTAGTTCCGAGTCAGGATGGCGAGTGGCTTGGAGGAAGGTTTGAAGGTGGTGCTGTTCCTTACTGTCTGCTGTCCCTGTCTTTCCAAGTGGGAGAGGTCATGAGTTTGGAAGGTGCTGTCAGAACAGCCTTGGGTGAGCTACTGCAGTGCATCTTGCAGACGGCACACACTGCTGCTACTGAGCTCCGAGGATACAGAGGGTGGTCTTTCAGAGAGGAGCAGGGGAGATTTTCATGGTGGAATAACTAATATTCATCCAATATTCGTCTAAAATCACTAAATAAAAGAAACAGAACATCATGTCATTTTCACTCTCCTAATGGGATGTCACTGAGAGCCAACTGGGTACTGCACTTTCTACAACTCAACAGTGACTGCATTTCCATCTTGTTGACCACAATCTGCTTAGGGACAATCTAAGGTCACGAAAAGCACACTCTTTATTCTAAGGAAATCCAGTGCGTCATAAGGTTTGAGTCCACCTCTAGAAGCAGAGGGCTCAAACTTCAATTCAAATAGAGAACAGTGAAAAAAGAATAACCAATTCTAATAGCCTCCTGGATTCAAACAGCTGGTCTGCAAATAATGATACGTCACTTAAATTCTAAAACCAGCTGGGGTGCCCTGCTGGTGCTCAGTAACTCCACACCCCAGTCAAAACAATGCTAACTGGATAATGAGATCGTAAGAAGTGCCGATGCTGGAGTCAGAGATAACAGTGTGGAGCTGGAGGAACACAGCAGGCCAAGCAGCATCAGAGGAGCAGGCTCTGTGTTACAACTGGATAATGAAGGTGGCTTTTTAACGATGTTCTTCGATGTTTCTCTCAACAGAACAGTAACAAAGAGGAAATGTGGATAGAACTCTGGATTGAAAGAAGTGATCGGAAATATTCACCATGGCTTAAGGTACACAATTGCACAGCGTAGAAGTAGGCCATTCAGCCCTCTGTATTTGTGCTAGATCTTTTAAAAATCTATTCAAATCATTCCCACTCCCCTGGTCTTTCCCCAAAACCTTACAATGTTTGTTTTCTTCAACTATTTCCCCAATTCCCCTTTGGAAGTTATGATTGAGTCTGCTTCCACTGGCCTTTCAGACACAGTATTCCTGACCTTAACAGCTCACTGTGTAAAATTATTTCTCATCTTGCGTGTGATCCTTTTACATTCAATCTGATGGCCCGGGGGACTGACTCACCTACAGAGGGCTGTTGTTTCATACTCACTCAATTTAAACCATTTAAAAAAAAACTTACGGTGAGCCTCGAGTGAATTTTCCTTCGATCTTGTCTCTGCTCCCAGCGGAATATGCCCTATTGTCCCTACATTATTGACAGATTCCAAACCGGCACTGGACTCCAGATTGGATTTGAATACCCGGTGTTACTCATCATACAGCATTCATCATTTTAAAAAATTTCTCCCCACTCTCGCTTTTTAATCACCCTCTCCTCCCTGTTTCTCACTCGTGGACCAAATGTCGTGTCCTCCAGACAGTGTTAGAAGAGGTTCACTCGGCAGATTGCTGAGAGGTAAGGGTCGTCTTACTGGGAAAGGTTGAGCAGTTTGGTCCCATACTCATAAGGGATTAGAAGGATGAGCGGCAATCCTACAGAAACGTACAAAGATTCTGAGGGAGCTAAACAGGGTGGATGCTGCGATGATGTTCCCTCTCATGACAAAAGCTAGAAGCAGGGGCTGCAGTTTAAAGATGAAGGAGCTTCTTATTTAATGCAGAATTGAGCAGGAATTTCTTCTCCCAAAGAATAGCTAGTGTTTGGGATTTTCTCCCACAGTGATCAGTGGAGGCCAGGACATTAATTCAGCCTTGAGCATATTCAGGCAGATTTTTGACTAACAAGGTTTATGAGGGACAGACAGGACGGTGACCACAACCAGATCAGCCAAGATCTTTGTAAATTGTGGGCTGAACGGCTTACTCCTGCTCTTGTTTCTTATGAGCTCTATGCTTGAACTTTTGACCAGAACCAAACAGTCAGCCCAAACAAAGGCCTTTCAGCCCATCAAGGTCGTACCAGTCAAAAACAGCCACCTGACGATTCTAACCCCGTTTTTCAGCGCTTGGTCCATTGTTTTGCATGCACTGCCATCACAAGTGCAAATCTCAAAACAACAAACATTGTCTTCACCAGCACCTTAAGAACCGGTGCTCTCCATAAACCGGCAAAAATTATATACCTCAAATACTGGACGTTCACTTTTTAATTGCGATGTATGAGTAATCATTCGGGGTGCGAGCTAGAAGGCTCTCTGCCGATAAGTTTTACTTCAGGCAAAAGTGCATTATTATTAAAGTGATATAAGCTGTAAATAAAGTGTAATAGTCATGTGCATATCCCCCTGCATTACATTTCTACCCCTTAGTGTGTGTTTTTACATTAATTATGTGGACCTCTTGAACAACTGGATTATTTAACCAACTGGTACACTCCTGATCCCGTTGGTGCCAACTAATAAAAACTTTGCTGTACTCCTTAAATGTTCTGAGGGTTTCTGCCTCCACCACCCTTATAGGCAGTGAGATCCATATTCCCAACACCCTCTGCGTGAAAAAGCACTTCCTCACGTCTCCTCTGAACCTTCAGCCCCTTGTGTCAACTCTATTTCCACCTGGTCAATGATCCCTCCAGCAAAGGGGGATGAAAGTTTCTTCCTGTCTGACCAGTTCAGCAGCCGAGAGAACCCATGCAGCTGGTGAATCCACAGGCCTAATGACAAGAATTGAAGAGATTTCCCTCCTCCATTCTCTCTCTTTTTTTATCCACTAAGATCCTGCTACTGCTCAGGGCAAGACCACAGGATGGAACAAGGGATGTTCCTGTTGCTGCAAAAACAGAAATTGCTGGAAAAGCCCAGCAGGTCTGGCAGCATCGGTGGAGAGAAATCACAGTTAACGTTCCAGGTCCAGTGACCCTTCCTCAGAACAGTTTCTACACGAGAACCTACGACTAAAAAGGTCACAGTCGCAGGATAAGGCGCAAACATTAAGGACGGAGATGCAGAAGCATTTCTTCACTTGAGATGTTCATGAATCTGTGGAGTTCCCCTGTAGACCCTACATAGGCATCGCTCCATTACTGCTGCATTCCCACCACCTCACTCCCTACAGTTCTTCATCTCTCACAATCACAAGTCTGAGGCTGGTCAACTACAATTCTCAATGTTCAAAAGAAAGAAAACACCAATTAAGAACATAAGAAGAACTAGGAGCAGGAGTAGGCCGTCTGGCCCTTTGAGCCTGCTCCGCCATTCAATAAGATCATGGCTGATCTTTTCGTAGACTCAGATCCACTTACCCGCGTTCTCACCGTATCCCTTAATTCCTTTATCGTTCAAAAAAAATCTACCTTATCTTTAAAAACGTTTACTGAAGTAGCGTCAACTACTTCACTGGGCAAGGAATTCCATAGATTAACAACCCTCTGGGTGAAGAAGTTCCTTCTCAGTTCAGTCCTAAATCTGCTCCCTCTAATCTTGAGGCTATGCCCTCTTGTCCTAGCTTCACCTGCCAATGGAAACATCCTCTCTACTTCTATCTTATCTATTCCCTTCATAATTTTATATGTTTCTATAAGATCCCCCCTCAATCATCTGAATTCCAATGAATATAATCTCAATCTACTCAGTCTTTCCTCATAAGCCAACCCCCTCAACTCCGGAATCAACCTAGTGAACCTCCTTTGCACCCCCTCCAGTGCCAGTACATCCTTTCTCAAGTAAGGAGACCAAAACTGCACACAGTACTCCAGATGTGGCCTCACCAGCACCTTGTACAGCTGCAACATAACCTCTCTGTTTTTAATCTCAATCCCTTTAGCAATGAAGGACAAAATTCCATTTGCCTTCCTAATTACTTGTTGTACCTGCAGACCTACCTTCTGTGATTCATGCACAAGGACACCCAGGTCCCTCTGCATAGCAGCATGCTGCAACTTTTTACCATTCAAGTAATAATCCTTTTCACTATTACTCCTACCAAAATGTATGACTTCACATTTATTTACATTATATTCCATCTGCCAGACCTTTGCCCACTCACTCAATGTATCTATGTTCCTCTGCAAAGTTTCACAGTCCTCTGCACACTTTGCTCTGCCACTCATCTTAGTGTCATCTGCAAACTTTGACACCCTACACGTGGTCCCCAACTCCAAATCATCTATATAAATTGTAAATAATTGCGGTCCCAACACCAATCCCTGAGGCACACCACTAGTCACTGACTGCCAGCTAGAATAGCACTCATTTATCCCCACTCTTTGTTTCCTGTTAGTCAACCAATCCTCTATCCATGCTAACACTTAAACCTTAATGCCATGCATCCTTATCTTATGCAGTAGCCTCTTGTGCAGCACCTTTCAAAGGCCTTTTGGAAGTCTAGGTACACCACATCCACCAGGTCCCCATTGTCCACCTCGCTCGTAATGTCTTCATAGAATTCCAAAAGATTTGTCAAGCATGACCTGCCCTTCATGAACCCATGCTGCGTCTGCCCAACGGGACAATTTCTACCAAGATGCCTTGCTATTTCTTCCTTGATAATAGACTCAAGCATCTTCCCCACTACAGAGGTTAAGCTAACCGGTCTATAATTCCCCATCTTTTGTCTACTTCCCTTTTTAAACAGTGGTGTCACATTTGCTGTTTTCCAATCTGCTGGGACTGCCCCAGAGTCCAGCGAATTTTGGAAAATTACCGCCAGTGCACCTGCTATTTCTCCTGCCATCTCTTTTAGTACCCTGGGATGCATTCCATCAGGGCCAGGAGACTTATCAATCCTTAGCTCCATTAGCTTGCCCAACACTACCTCTTCCGTAATAATGATTGTTTCCAGGTCCTCATCTACCTTCGTCTCTTTGTCAATTACTGGCATGTTATTAGTGTCCTCCACTGTGAAGACCGATACAAAATACCTGTTCAATGCCTCGACCATTTCATCATATTAAAGAAAGGGGAAAGCCAGCAGAAGCACAATGGACCAAGCAACCTCCTCAACCATTACACAGACCATCAAACAAGCAGGTATCATCCAATGCAGCACTTACCATTTCTTCAGTCTATCACGTGCTTCAAGCCTGGCTCCCACCTCAAAAGTGATACCACGTCTGCTCGGAGGTTTCTTGGACATCTTCAACACATTTCAGTCTCTGTGCAAAAAGGATGAATGCATGCATTAACCACATTTCCAGCAGGGATACAAAAATGCATCCACTGCAATGTTCCAGGAGAACATAAGGCACGGGCAGACATATCACAGGCAGGGTATATTTCAAAGGGAAGCTCAATTAGAAGCAGAAGGGGGAGCACAATAGGTGGCAGGTTTAGCTGATGAGAGATGGGAACATCACGACAGGGTAACTTGTGGCTCAATGGGTAGCACTCTTGCCTCGGTGTCAGAAGGTCAGAGGCTCAGGTCACTCTCTGAAGACTTGTGCACAATGAAAGGTTAGGCTCACACCTCCAGTGCAACGCTGAAGGAGTGCCAACTGTCAAACAAGATGGGTTAAACTGAGGCCCCTTCTGTCCTCGCCGGTGGATGTAAAAGATCCCATAGAACTATTTCATCTATATAATCGATTTGGATGAGAATTTAGGAGACATGGTTAGTCTGATGACACCAAAATTGGTGGTATAGTGGACTGTGAAGAAGGTTATCTAAGATTACAGAGGGATCTTGATCAACTGGGTCAATGAGCTGAGGAGTGGCAAATGGAGTTTAATTTGGATAAAAGCAAGGTATTGTATTTTTGTAAAACAAACAAGGGCAGGACTCATACAGTTATTGGTAGGCCCCTGGGAAATGTTGTAGAACACAGAGACCTAGGGGTTCAGGTATTAATTCTTGGAAATTTGCATCACGTGTAGGCAGCGTGGTTAAGAAGACTTGCAAGAAGAAGACTTCATTGATGAGGAGGTTAGTTCAAGAATTTGAGATCAGACTAAGTTATTTTCAGACTGGAGTGGGTGGTGACAGATGAGGGTGGAAAACAGTTTTTTAATCTGACAGCATTTTCTTTTCCACTGCTGGACTATATCAGTAGACTTCATTGCAAGGTTTGGAAGGATATGGACCAAGCGCAGGCAAGTGGGAATAATTTAGTCGGGGAGTATAGTTGGCATGGACTGGTTGGACCGAAGGGTCTGTTTCTGTGCTGTATAGCTCAATGACTCTAAGAGCAGAGGCACCCTCCTGAGTGTCCTACCCAACAGTTATCCCAAAACCAACATCACTAAAACAAATGACCTGCTTTATCACAGCATGGAGGCTTACTGTACACGAATCCTACACTGCAACAGTTGACTGTGTGGCTGTAAAAGTGCTTTGGAATTTCCCCAAGGATAATGGAAGGCACTTTATAAAATCTGGTCTGTTTCTTTCACTAAAAAGTAACCTATAATCTTATCTCACAGTTTGTGATAGCTCAAGTTCTTTGAGAAGGTGACCAAACAGGTGGATGAGGGTAAAGCAGTTGATGTGGTGTATATGGATTTCAGTAAAGCGTTTGATAAGGTTCCCCATGGTAGGCTATTGCAGAAAATACGGAGGCATGGGATTGAGGGTGATTTAGCGGTTTGGATCAGAAATTGGCTAGCTGTAAGAAGACAGAGGGTGGTGGTTGATGGGAAATGTTCATCCTGGAGTTCAGTTACTAGTGGTGTACCTCAAGGATCTGTTTTGGGGCCACTGCTGTTTGTCATTTTTATAAATGACCTAGATGAGGGCGTAGAAGGATGGGTTAGTAAATTTGCGGATGACACGAAAGTTGGTGGAGTTGTGGATAGTGCGGAAGGATGTTGCAGGTTACAGAGGGACATAGATAAGCTGCAGAGCTGGGCTGAGAAGTGGCAAATGGAGTTTAATGCGGAAAAGTGTGAGGTGATTCACTTTGGAAGGTGTAACAGGAATACAGTGTACTGGGCTAATGGTAAGATTCTTGGTAGTGTGGATGAGCAGAAAGATCTCGGTGTCCATGTGCATAGATCACTGAAAGTTGCCACCCAGGTTGATAGCGTTGTTAAGAAGGCGTACGGTATGTTAGGTTTTATTGGTAGAGGGATTGAGGTTCGGAGCCATGAGGTCATGTTGCAGCTGTACAAAACTCTGGTGCAGCCGCACTTGGAGTATTGCGTACAGTTCTGGTCACCGCATTATAGGAAGGATGTGGAAGCATTGGAAAGGGTGCAGAGGAGATTTACCAGCATGTTGCCTGGTATGGAGGGAAGGTCTTATGAGGAAAGGCTGAGGATCTTGAGGCTGTTTTCATTAGAGAGAAGAAGGTTAAGAGGTGACTTGATAGAGACATACAAGATGATCAGAGGATTAGATAGGGTGGACAGTGGGAGCCTTTTTCCTCGGATGGTGATGGCTAGCACGAGGGGACATAGCTTTAAATTGAGGGGTGATAGATATAGGACAGATGTCAGAGGTATGTTCTTTACTCAGAGAGTAGTAAGGGCATTGAATGCCCTGCCTGCAAAAATAGTAGACTCGCCCACTTTAAGGGCATTTAAATGGTCATTGGATAAACATATGGATGATAATGGAATAGTTTAGGTTAGATGGGCTTCAGATTGGTTTCACAGGTCGGCGCAACATCGACGGCCGAAGGGCCTGTACTGCGCTGTAATGTTCTATGTTCTAAGTCATGCCAGGCTGGAGTTGTGTGTTTGGATCACATGGCTGAATCCAAGCGAATTCCTGGGAAATTTAAAATTCAGACTGGAATTATCATATGTGTATGTGTGCGCGTGGAACCCTCCAAAAAAAGTCCCTTAAAGTCTGAGAGTGGGAGAGTTCTGACTCACTTTGGCTTAATAGTTACCCCAGGGAATGTTACGAGGATAAGAAACCTATTCTAACTCAGGGTCAGAATAAGGGCTCTCTGGCAATCCACTGCAGAACAAAATCAACTCCCCTCAGGTCTCCATTAGTGATGGCAAGCATCAGCAACTTATGTCTCCATCTAGTGGTCTGAGTGCCGAGGTCACATATAGATAAGGACGGCAGTCAACTGTGAATCAAAGAATCCCTACAGTATGGAAGCAGGTCATTCAGCCCATCAAGTCCTCACCAACCCTTCAAACATCATCCCACCCTATCCCCAACAATGTGTACACTCCACACAGACAGCAGTTTGAGGATGGAATCGAAGCTGGGTCCCTGGCACTGAGAGGCAGCAGTGCTAACCCCTGAGCCACTGTGCTGCCCCCAGTGTGGCTCAATCAAACTTGAGGTTTTTGGAATGCTGTTTTGCCTGGAGAGGAGAAAATTGAAAGATGATTTGATGGATATGCTCAAAATCATAATGGGTGAGGATGAAATAAATGGGGGTGGGAACCTTTCCAATTGATGGAAGGATCGAGAATGAGGAGCCACAGATTTAGGGTAATTGGCAAATGGAGCAACGGTGCCACGAGGAGAAATGTTTTTCTTGCAGCGAGTGACTAGGAATGCACTGGCAGAGTGCGGTGGAAGTAGATTCATTCGAGAGAGAATTGGGTTATTTTCTGAAAAGGAAGCATGTGTAACGATCCAGGGAGAAGGCAGCAGAACAGCTCAAAGTGAATTACTCCTTCAGAGAGCCAGTACAGGCATGATGGGCTGAATCTCCTCCTCCTGTTCTCTAACAGTCTGTGTCATGCGCCTGAAGAAGAAAGGAGGTTGGTTCAAGGATTTGAGATCAGACTAAGTTATTTCCAGACTGGAGTGGGTGGTGACAGATGAGAGTGGAAAACAGTTTTTTGATCTGACAGCATTTTCTTTTCCACTGCTGGACTGATCAGTAGATTTCCTTCATCTCGTGAACCGTATGTGGGCCAGCATTACTACCCTTTCCTGTGCTTTGGAGATTCGCTTCCAAGAAGCAGTAACCCAGTCGACTAAGTTTGAGTCTCACAGACTGTTTTGCAGAGTTATAACATGAAAGTACAGCACACTTTGGATCCCACATGATACTGTGTGCACTTGCTTCTCACGGTTAAGCTACGCTTGGGAGCACTGCACACAGTTCTGGTCCGTGGACTGCAAATTAGGAAGTGATAACGGTTGCAAAGAAAATCCTAAAAACTGAGAGGCTGCAACTTTTCACAAACGACTGAATGGTCTGAGGTTCCTTCCTCCACAGAAAGCAGAAAAGTGAATGATTAACGGGCTTTAAAATTAAGAAGGGAATAGCTAAGTTAGATGTAGAGAAGGTGTTTCTCGGTGGTGGTGAGTAGGGGTCACAACTGCCTTTATTTATGATTGCCAGGCTGCAAGAAAATGTCTTTATACAAAGAACAGTTAAAAATTGCTACTGAACAGAGCAGTGGAAGAAAATTTTACAGGTACATAGCAAGTGCAGATATAATAGGCTGAATGGCCTTCTTCTGTGCTGTAATGATTTTATACATTTGACAGGGAAGCTCCACAAGCGTCTGAAGGAGAAAAGAATAGAAAATGCTGATAGTTTTAGAGAAAGTGGATGGGTGAAACATCACGTGGAACATAAACAGCAGTATAGACCAAGGGGGAAAACTGGCCAGTCTCCATGCTGTACTTTCATGTTGCAACTCTGCAAAACAGACTCAAACTTAGTCGTATGGGTTACTGCTGACACAGGTACAGGACAGAGCATTAGCACAGCTCTCTGGTAGTCAAATGTGCATCATTTCCAATTAGATACGCAGCAATGTTAGGGATATTATTATGCATGTTCAGCATTGAAACAGAGCGTGACTACAACGTTAAGGGTAGACCAGGGTTCACAGAATCTTACAACCCTAGAGTGTGGATCGGCCGAATGGCCTGTTTCAAGTCTGCACCAACCCTCTGAAGACCATTCCACCCAGAACCACCTCCCTACCCTATTCCTGTAACCCTGCATTTCCCATGGATAATCCACCTAGCCTGCACATCTTTGGACTGTGGGAGGAAACCGGAGCATCCGGAGGAAACCCACGCAGACATGGGGAGAATGTGTAAACACCGCACAGACAGTTGCCTGAAGGAGGAATCGAACCTGGGTCCCTGGCGCTGAGGCAGCAGTGCTATTCACTGAGCCACCATGCCACCCTTGACTTGAGAAATCCAAAATGGAATAAAGTAAACCTTTATATCAGAATGGACATTTAATTTACTTAACACAATGACTTCCATTTACATAGCAC